CTACTTACCAGCCAACTCCAGAGCTACTTGGCTGTAATGACAGATAGAAAACCAAGTGAGTTCTGCTTATGAATAAGATATAGAGAGTATACAGGCTTTTGAAACCACCATCTGCCTGCTCCTCATTCCAGAAAGGGGTCAGTGATGCTGATATAAAGATACAGACAACTAAAAAATAGGTGTGATGGACATATAAACTTGCATTAAAGAATAAAAACTGACTGTAGCCATTTCCACCTCTGGGGAGGAGTACTGGCATACTGTGTATCAGTGGGAAAATGGATCTCTATGTGGCTTTGTAGTATCTCAGGGACTAGAGGATGGGAGAAACCCAAGAGTGCAGGGACTGGAAAATCGAGTAGCAGTGAGAAATGGGGCACTCTGGAGAGAGACAGGGGCCCAACCACAGTGGTGAAAGTCCTGCTGAGAAAAAAGGGGTGGGAGATACCCCGGGTGGTGGGGTAGCTGAAAGAATGTGGAAACTTTTCATCACCTCAAACCTAAGGAAAATAAGGTGAATTCCATGGTTCGTTGGACCAGGATCAGAGGGAACAGAAGAGCTGTTGGAGGTGAGACCGTGGGGTAAGAACTCAGAAGGACAGGGAGAGAGGACACAGCAGTCTCCTGGAACTGGCAGAAATCACAGGACAAGGGTTTAAAGCAATCTGATTTAAGTCTGAAAGTACAGGAAGAGCTCAGCCTACTTAAACAAAATTAGGTCACCTTTTAGATTTTTAAATATATCAAAACAAAACACTTCGGGAGGTGACTCTGGAATAGTGCTCTGAAGGCCAAGCACAGCAGGGAGGCTGGTGAAAGACAGCCATGCCAACAATCCTGTTCGGGGGTTTTTTAATTAAAACAATGGTTTGTTTGGTTTTTTTTAGTTTGAGCTCTTTTTTCAGTCATTCGCCACCTTCCTTTCTGTCATGTCCTTCTTCCTGAGAGGGAGCTTGATGTAGAGGAGAAAACATAGGCTTTCTAGCCAATCATATGTGCATTTGAATCCTGCTGTGTCATGTGCTACCTATGAAAACAAGCAAATTGCTTTACCCTCGAGCCTGTCTTCCATGTGCAAAAGATAGACGATAATATCACCTTTCAGGGTTCTGTAAGGATTCAGGGAGGTAAAGTATGGAAAGGACCCAGAAGTGGCTGACAGTAAGTGCTCTGTCTGTCCCTCTGTCTTGTCAGTCTGTGTTGACAGACTGAACAAACAAATGGATGGTGGCCAGATCATATTTAAGATGGAACTCTGACCCACGCTCTGCAGCAACCAGACCAGGAAACCAACCCATTATCTACAGTAACCAGACCAGGAAGCCAATCTGCTATGTGCAACTCAGACTTGGAGGAAGTCAGACCACTGTCTCTATCTCACAGTCCATAAGCCAAATAAGAATACCTGTAACAGTCTCCCCCAAATAGGCAAGACTTGATAAATGACTGACAGCTTCTTTAATATTTGCCCCAATTTTTTACTTAAAGCCATCCTGAGAAAGCCAAATACACACCCCTAACCCATCACACAGGATGCCGTGCTTCTAGTCAGCACACTTACAGCTTCCACATGCCAACCGCCACCAATCAGGACGTACTGGAGGCTTTCTCACTCCACTGCCTGCTTTTGTATTTCTGCTAAGAGACAAGTGATGGTGGCTGACTCCCTTGCTATAGCAAGCTTTGAAAAAATAGCTTTTGTCTATTCTCATCTGGTCAGTCTTTGTTTTTTTCCACCATCTCTTTTTTTTCCCGACTCTTCTCCCGTTATGGACTGAATGTTTGTGTCCCCACAAAATTCATAGGTTGAAGCCCTAACCCCCAATGTGATGGTATTTGGAGATGGGGCCTTTGGGAAATAGAGTTAGATGAGATCACGAGAGTAGGAACCCTGTGATGGGATTAGTGCCCTTATAAGAAGAGACATTAGAAAGATTTCTCTGTCTCTCTCCTCTCTGCCACATGAGGAGATAGCAAGAAGGCAGCAGTGGACATCTGTAATCCAAGAAGAGAGCTCTTACCAGGAACAGAACTGGCCGGTATCTTGATCTTGGGTTTCGAGTCTCTAAAACTGTGATAAAATAAATCTGTTCTTTAAGCCACTCACTGTGGTATATTGTTGTGGTGCCTGAGCATACTAAAACATCCTCCTTTTCCCTATGCATCCTTCCAACCCAAAGCTCTGGACCTTCCAAAGCCCTCTGGTCGCACTACACTTGATCTGTTCACCATCACACTAGGGTCATGCACTCTGTTAAGTGACAACTCACTTGAAAAGCTCCCCAGGCAATGCAATGATATATCTATATATCTATACAGATATGTATAATTTAAAAATTAATATGATTTCCATTTGTGAAAGATAGATGATAGTTTTTACAAAATGAATATATGTATACAGTCTCAGCGTTAGACCTCTCAGTGTCCAAGCACAAAAGAAAATAAATAAATAAAAGAAGAAAATAAAAGCCAACTAAGATTCTACCACTCAGAGATAATCACTATAACATTTAGTACTTGTCCTCCCTGACGTTTTCTATCTATCTGTCCATCCAGCTATCATCTATCTGTACATGCACTGATATATTGTATATTATATATTCACACATTTATAAAGGCAACACCATACAGCTTTCCCCTTCTTAATCTAATACATCATAAACATCTTTCTAAGGCCATAAGCATACTACTCAATAATTTTTAGAGCTGTAGTATTTCATTGTATGGCTGTATAGTTAATGTGCTTAATCCCTCATTGTAGGGTGTTCATACCTTTTTCAACTTTTCCTGATTATAAGCAATAATTTGTATATTTTCTTTTTTTCCCCTTAATCAGTTTATTTCCTTATAGCATAGCATATAAGGTAGCAATCATGTGTATTTTTTTTTAATTTATTTACCTGTCCGTCTATTTCCAAATAGTTGGTTAGTTCTCTCAACACTAATTTTCAAACAATCTCTATTTTCCTATCAGCCTGAACCGC